AAAACATTTAAATTGAAGACTAAGGATAGTAAGTTCTCTTTTGTTTTGTTCATTTTTTTTGAGACAGTGCCTTATGTACTTAAACTGGCTTGAAACTCATTATGTAGCTGAAGATGACCTTGAACTTCTGATTTTCTTGGGTCCACATCTTAAATGTGGGGATTACAGGTTCCAAGCCAGTTTTTAATGGTGCTGAAGATCAAACCCTTGGCTTTATGCATCTTATATAAGCACTCTATCAACTGAGTTATGTCCCCAGCCAATAAGATTACTTTTAGTCATTTTGCAGGATTAGTATTTAAAGATCATACATTTTGAAATGAAGCTGTTGATACTAAATATGTATTATTATTTATTGTGCATTATAGATTATAAAGGTCACTGCCCTTTGAAGGCATTAAATAAAATTATGACCTACATGAAAGAGACTCGTTTGATCATAGGTTATTCTCGAGTTTATCTGTTAGCTCATTTGCTTATACAATAACTTGTGTAAGACATAGAATATGTGGCAGGGGTTTCAGCTATGAATCTGAAGTGCTGCTGTTACTGGCTGAGCACCCCTAACTTGAAGACAAAAAGTCTGAAAATTTTTGAGTGTTGACATGATTGTCACACATGGAAAATTCTACATCTAACATCATGTTATGGTTACAGTCAGAAAGTATATGAGAAATATTGCATAAAGCTACTTTAAACCTGTACATATTGGTGTATAATGAAACATAAGTGAATTTAGTGCTTAGACTTGGGTCTCTCCCCAATTTTATACATACACACACACACACACACACACACACACACACACACACAAATAAAATATAAACTGATAATTTAAAATATAAAAGACCTAGGGTCCTAAACATTGCAAAATGAGGGATATTCAACATATGCTTAATGTTAATTCAGAGAGACAGGGGCACAGGGAAGGAACAGCTAGTTCTGCCTGCAGGAATTGCAAGAGTTTATAGAAAAAGTAATACTTGACAAAAGTGTTGTGGACTTTAGATAAATTATGAACTGTAATGAAGATGACATTTAAATTGATCATTTCCAAGGTAAATGAGTTAACTATGTCCTGTAGCTTATATTAAAACAAGCCCTTTTTATTGTGCATCCATATTCATTCATTTGTTCCTTCATTCATCTATTTATTCATCCATCCATTTATTCAATATTTATTGATGGAGTACTCACGATGTGCCTTCAGTAAAATTTGTGAGGTTTTCTGTTTTCTGCCTTGGTGAATATATCCTGGAAAGTTCAGTATAAGCTGATGTTTCATTATACTTTTTATTATCCTTAGAGTGTTCAGTTCAAGAATTTGAGTGTGCAGTTGTATAAGAATTCTGTTGGTCAAGAACCACATCACAAAAGTGTAAAGGTATTTACTATACACATTCTGGAGTGATGGTCAGTATTAAAAGTTAGAAATCTTACTTCTAAGAATAAAGAGCATGATATTTTTAGGTGTTAGAGGATATGCCATGACTATATCAAAGCTTTGTTCCCATATTTAGCTTATGTTATAAATGTTATGTTATTTAACTTAGGCCCTGCCCGTGGGAGTTTATTACTGTAACTATTTGAATAATCTTGGAGGTAATAAAACCAGTTTTTCTAAACTGTATTTTGACAGTTTATTAAAATAGTATAGCAGAGTGTGGAGAAATGCTGAATTTAATGAGTCATATTATCATTATTTTGCTGCAGGACTGCTCAGGGCCTTTAATAGAAACAGTGTACTCCTGGAATTTATTCCCAGAAAAGAAGTATAAATGTCCCAAATTTTATGACCATTAATACTTTTCCTTCGAGTGTCTGATCTAAGGATTAGTGTTCCATAAACTTTTGTGGGGAATTATGACTTTAAACTCGGCCTTTCCTAGTGTGCAGAATTTTGGGATGCCTTTGTGGAACACTTGGAGTGTATCTGAAATTTCAATAAAAGAATTGGACAAATAATTAGGAGGTAATTACATCCCCAACTTAGGTGAGATTTGTTTATCTAAAGTGAAGATAAATACTGGGCAATAATCAAATAAATTGAGACTGTCTAGACAACCAGTCTCTTGAGTTAAGGACAGAATGAAGTTAATTGTTAGCTTAATTCTATTTATCACTTGAGAGTGCGCCTTGTTTTCAGCTTATTGAAATTGAAAGGATTGTAAGATTGGCCATTTTTAAAACACAGAATGATTTAGCCGACAATAAGCATAAAAGCCAGATATATAGACAGACAGGAATGGTTGTATATATCAGTAACAAGCTTGTATGCATACTGATATTTGTTCTCTTCTCTCAGCAAGTATAATACTAGTTTAAAAATGAGAAAAATAAACTATTAGTACTTAGAATATATACATATCTAGCTAGCTAGCTATATAGATATAGATATATAGTGATATAGTGATCTGATACCCTATGCTTAGTTACTTGAGATAAAGGTAATTTAGGGGCCAGAGACAGCTTAGTGGTCCTTTGCTGGCCTAGCTAATGTAATAAGGCCCTGGGTTCAACCCTAAGGACCAGTAAAACCTAACTTGTTTCAGGAATAGCAATGTGTTTTTAATCCCAGCAGAAGCTGACAGATCTATTTGAATTCCATGTCAGCCAAGACTATATAGGGAGGCCTTACCTGAAACAAAACAAAACAAAACCTGTGGGTTGAATCCTAAGGACCAGTAAAACCTACCTTGTTGCAGGGCATGGTGGTGGGCCTGGTCCTCATATCTTAATGCTGTATGATTTTTTTCCTCATTCATTGCTATCTTGCCACAATAGCCTCACTGTTTATAGCACACACTGTTTATAGCCTTTAGACATTTCACAGCATTCTTTGAAAACAGGATCCTTGTTATTTCCTTGTAACTCATTTCCACTGATTACCTTTTTAAAAAAAAGTTAAATTTTAACCCTTACTTTCCCCTTTCCTTTTCTTTCTCTTCTTCCCATTACTTCTTTCATTCTTTGACATACATAGTCTTGCCTCACAGCCAGTCTAGTCACAAAATTTACAACCCTCCTTATATTGAACTCTATATATGCTTTATTTTTTGTTTGTTTGTTTTCTGTTTTTTTTTTTTTTTTTTTTTTTTTTTTTTTTTTTTTTTTTTTTTTTTATCAAGACAGGGTTTCTCTGTGTAGATTTGGCTGTCCTGGACTCACTTTGTAAAGTAGGATGGCCTCAAACTCAGAGATCCTCCTGCATCTGTCTCCCAGAGTGCTGTGATTACAGGTGTGTGCCTCCATGCCTGGCTGGTTTATTTCTTTTGTAACAGTTAGTACAAAGATAAACAAGTATTAAGATATCATTTTAAATATAATGAGGACTCAGTACACAAGTGGGTTTCCCTAGTAAGAGGAGCAGGGGTTTCTCTGGCATGAACTCAGTAACAGGCTCATTAATAACCTCCCCCCAGAGGGGTGCAGCCTTGCCAGGCCATGGAGGAAGACAATGCAGTCTTGATGAGACCTGTTAGGCAAGGGTCAAATAGAAGGAGAGGAGGACCTCTCCTATCAGTGGACTAGGGGAGAGATATAGGGGGAGAAGAGGGAGGGAGGGTAAGATTGGGAGGAGATGAAAGAGGGTGCTACAGCTGGGATACAAATTGAATAAATTGTAATAAATTATAAAAATGAAATATAATGAATGCAAGCTGAAAAATAAATATGTATAAACTATATTTTTTACTCTGAGAGCTTAGAGTTCATGTACACAATGGCATTACAGTAATCATGAACACAAAAAGCTTCATACTTTGGTGTCTAATTTTATACCCCAACTAAAGGGACCAAGGCTCACTATAAAAATGGGTGACAGTAAGGCTAGGACAGGCAGGAAAGATATGGTGAACCTGGGGTATCCTGTAGAACAAGAAAGTAAGGAAGTTCATGTACATGTACAAACACAAACTGATAGAGGAATAACAAAGTTCACACAAGAGCTCTCAGGGAACAATTTGAATAATTTCAGCAATAAATAATATAGTATTGGATTATATTCCAAAGTTTAAAAAATATTTGTGAGCCCATACTAATGACTGAATAAATAAATGAAGAAAAAAACCATGTCTGTACTGCTGAAGAGTTCCCAACAATTTATATAAACTGTCCTCAAAATGGTAAGCCATAACTTCCAGTTTTTTAAATGTGGAGTGTGCATAGCATTCCTTCCAAAGAGTACACTATATAAACTGGAGTGACTGTGTAGTTTTATAGTGGAGAATTCTGGGAAACTCTTACTGAAATAGGTGATTAAATTAAGATTATCATAAATGATCATAATACTGAGAGCATGTATCTATGATAAAATGGTAATATACAACATTGTCTTAACTTTTCTACTGCTATAATGTTGGATTTGAAATGTATTTTTTAAAAAAATTGTTTACAGATGAGAAACTGTTCTTAGCTTTGAGGTAATGAATGAAGTTAAGCATAGCTTCTAACTCTAAGAATCTTAGAATCTACGGAGGGAAGCAAGATATAGGAACCATGTAATACAGATATAAATCATAGGAGGTGGTCATAAATTTGAAGTTGGGAAAAAAACCTAGATATTGGAGTGCTGCTGGAGGCATGGAAGTTTTACAGAAAAACATGCTCTTCTGCTTATTTAATTAGCATTCTTTTAGTGCTAGAGGTAGAACTCAGGGCGTAGAGCATGATAGGTAAATGCTCTACCACTGAGTCCTATCCTTGTTTATACAGTCAGAATTTCTGGAAGAGGACTTAGAAGATTCTCTAAATATCATTTGACTACTCCAGAAAACAAGATACTTTTTTTTCTGATAGCTAATCTCTAACACAAGAGTATAAGCTATTTATTTGAGGGTACTTTGTGATAGCTAATAATATTGCTTAAATTTTTCTATAATAATAGCAAAATAAACAGATTGGATATACTGTTGTTTACTCATTTCCTGGGTATATCTGGTCAAATCTGGGATGTCTGGTATTTAGATGTTAACATTTCTTCTCTTTTATTTTGTCTTTAGGATTAGCTGCTGCCAAACTCTTGTCTGAATACAAAATCAATGTCTTAGTTTTAGAAGCCCAGGATAGAGTTGGAGGAAGAACACATACCGTGAGGGTAAGTGATTTCAATAGTTTATGGCATCTCACTTAAACTCTAAATGGGGCCATAGCACTGGAGGAGACCTCATGAGACCACATAGTTAAGCCATTAGGCCAACAAGTCTAAACTGTTTTATCAAGTAAGTAGTCTTTTCTTTCTTCATTTGTTTATTTTTTAGACAGCATCTTTCTCAGTATCCCAGGTTAGCCTTAAACTCAGTCTATAGTACTGGAAGACCTCAAGTTCACCCTCTTAACTCAGTCTTCCACATGCTGAGATTATAGGCATACACTACTATTCCCAACATGATTGTTATTTTCAATAAGTGCTCACTGTATAGTGATGACCTCAACTTCAATCACTCACATTCTAGAAACACAACAAAAACTTCATTACAGTGTTATAGTTTCTATATTAAAGAGTCAAATTAGTCTATAGTACCAGAGATAGTACAGTACTTTGGTTTGACTAAAAGTGATTTTGTACTCTAATACACAGTCATACACACATACACACACACACACACACACACATACATACACACAAACATAGAGAGAGGAGAGAGAGAGAGCAGGTTCCTTGTTTATTCAACAGTATGGTGCTTAAGTGTAGTGGCTATAGAATGCAAAAATAAATGCAGCATATAATTTCCCTTGGTCTCTTTCCTCAGGTTGGGTGTGGCTAGATATAAGGAAGAAGCATGGTTCTTACATCTTTGCCTTTTATGCATGGACCTACATTAGCATTCTGGAAAACTGCAGGATAACTATTATTTTTTTTTACTATTGTGTTTACAAGTAATTGAGTCTGTGGGAGCTGATGAAAGTACATAAGGAGAAGCTATAAGGAAATACTGCGAAAGACAGAAATTTGTGGGACATGTAATGAGACAGGAGACAGAGGTTGGAAGAGCTAGAGAAAAGCCGTAGAAACTAAGAAGGAGGGCTAGCCTAAAACAGTGCTATGATGCCCTGTCACTGGAGGAAAGAAAGAATGCTCAGTGGAGTCAAATAATATAGGAGGATGACAGAAAAGATTTCTTTGCTTATGGCAGTTAGGAAGTCATTAATATGCCCCTTCGGTAGAGCACAAAAATACAGTAGTAAAGGCTCAGTACTGGTAGTGTAAAAAAAAAAAAAGCATATTGTTTTATTTTAAATGACTAGAAGGACAGAGAATATATGCCTTGGTAGAAATTTCAGTTAGACTAATGTCAGAATGGCCTAGGCAATAATAGTAACAATGGTTTAGGCAATGAAAACATTAAATTATTTTACAGAAGTTTAATTGTAGAGATTCTAAGATAGTACAGGAGTTTAGTTTTGTAATAAAGGCTTCAGAATTTTCTTACCCTTTGTTCTACCATTCTTTGCATATTGGATTGTTGTCCTGTGGTAACAAGGTAAGCTCTAAGCAGGTCTCCTCTTGAGGAACAAGAATTACTGAGCCTTTGTGACTCATAGCAGTAAGCACTGCATTCTGGGCATTGAAGCAAGAGGGTAATGAATGTAAGACCATTCTGTGGTACATAGTAGTGTCTTGTTTAAAAAACAAACAAAACAGAAAGAAATAGAATGAAAGGACAGCACTATCCTTGGCTGAGACAAACAACTTTTACTTTACCAGTAAACTCCATGCTGACATTTGTCTCATTAGGCAGAGTTCGCTCACATGGCTATCTCAACTATAGGAGGAACCTGGGAAAGCAAGTAGTTAACATTTCCAGGTAGCAGAGAAGAAAAAGGCATAAGGAAGGGAATTGGAATGGCTATTGCAATAACTGTGTGATGTCTGAACTAGGATAGTGCTGTAGCTCTTCCAGTCATACCATTCTACGGATTCTTCTTATTTGCATCTACTTCACTAAACCCATGAGGTCTTTTTCTATTTTGCTCATCTCTAACAATGTGCCCCACAACCTTGCTACTCCAAGTGTGCTGTATAGACCTGGAGCCTTGGATTACCTGGAAACTTAAGAGAAAATTCTCAGGGCTGTTGAATCTACATTTTTTAAAAATTATCTTCTGAGGGAGGTTGCAAATATGCTGCTCTGTGGATAATCCTGCTCACTTCCTTCACTTTAAAGTAAATCCACATTAAATTTATTTGGAGTATTTCTGAGAATTCCCTTAGATATAGTCTGCTATGGGTTTTGGTTAAGAGCACTTGTTGCTCTTGCAGAGGATTTGGTTTATTTCCAATCACCCATGCGGTGGCGTACAACCATTTATAAGTTAGTTCACTTGCAGGGTTTCAGGTCCTTGTATGCCTTCTGTTGGTAACAAGCATGCACACTGTACACATACATACATGTAGACAAAATATTTATACACAGTAAAAATCTACAAAAGGAGTGAGGAGACTGGAATCTGTTCACTGTTAGTACCTGACACTAACTTGGATATGTCCTAATTAGAATTTCACATGCAAGTTTACTCAGCTAAAAGATCAGATATACTCATATGTCTTCCAAGAAGCTCTTGCATACCTTTATTTTAATGTTTTGCTTGTTTTTGAGACAGGGTCTCACTGTGTAGCCCTTGCTGTTCTAGAACTCATATGTAGGCCAAGAGGGTCATAATTCACATAGACCTGCCTGCTTCTGCTTCCTGGATCCTGGGATTAAAGGTGTGAACCACCTTTAATTTAAAATTAAAATTGTTATTTTAATGTTTTGAGACAGGATCTTATCGTGTAACCCAGGCTAGCCTTCAACTTGAGATCCTACTTCTCCAGCCTTGGGAATGATAAAATTATAGGTACACATTTCTACAACCAGCCCATCTTCAAATTGAAATTGAAGGCATTGTATGGTAGTACAAAGACAAGTTGAACATTCTGCCTATATTCACATAGTAGATGTGTTTTTTCTGTCATTTTCTGAAAAATATTCTTTCATTTTAAAGAGAGTTACTACATTTTGCTTTAGTCCTACATTCCTTATCCTTTTAACTTTTGCTTATTAAATAGGGACATCAGTCATGTTGCAGATTTTCAGTTAAGAGCAAGGAAATGAAGTTCCAACATGCTTATCCCAGTCTATGCTATTGGCTTTAGCTACTTGGCCATATTGCTCCATTTATATATGCCAGCAGCAGACAGGAACTGGTGTCTATTCAGTAAGGTACTATATACCTCTTTTGTATACGAGAAAGGAGTCTTAGAAATACTGAGAAATGAACACTTAGCATTTATAGTTCAAGTGCCTAGAGAGAAAAAAGAAGGCTATAAGAAGGGTCAGAATGTTATTTAGTACAAAGCTAAATCAAATATTTTTAGAATTGATTCAAATAACATAATCAATTAGGATAATTTTTGAACAAGAAGTTACACAACTATTTTGAATCTTAAAGACTCAAAATTTCAAATTTGATGTTATCACCTGGCCTCTTCTGGTTGATTTTCTACAAATTCAGAACTTAGCATTTTTTAAATAATTAAACCATCTATAATGCTACAAAATCAAATGAATAAAGTTACAATGCTTGCAAGGCTTCTACAAGGTCAACATATTTGTTTCTTAATAGATTTCCATGTATGTGACCTTTTAGGCTGAGTAATATGACCTCAATAAAGAAAGGGCAAGTACTATATGACAGAATACCATATTACACTTCCTAGTGTCTTCCAGCAGAACCCAAGGTATTTCACTGGAGTATTTCTGCTTGAAATATTTTAATGCCTCACTCTTTTTTTTTTAATTCTTATCTCATATATTACATCCGAACTCCAGTTTCTCCTCCTTCCCCTTTCTTTCCCTACCTCATAATCCCCACTATCCACTCCTCCTTTCCATTTAGAAGATGACAGGCCTCCCAGGGATATCAATCATACATGACATATCAAATAACAATAACTCTAGAGACTTCCCCTTGTATGAAGGCTGGACAAGACAACTGAGTAGGAGTAAAAGGGTCCAAAAAGCAGGCAAAAGAGTCAGTGACAGCCTCTTCTCACTGTTAGGAGTCTCACAAGTAGAGCAAAATACACAGCCATAACATGTATGCAGAGGACCTATGTCAGACCTAGGCAGGAATGCCTCAGTCTTTTTCTTGCTTCATTTAGGATTATTTGCTTTAGAGAGAGAGTCAACATTCTAAAGAAATGTTTGGAAATTACCAAGAGTCTTCTTGCTGTCTGTGTTAAAGTAATAGAAATTGGGGCTGGAGAGATGGCTCATTCGTTAAGAGTACTGGCTGCTTTTCCAGAGGACCCGGATTCAATTCCCAGCACCCACATTTGACAAATGTCTGAAATTTCAGTTTCGGGAAGTTCCCGTTCCAACACCCTCATAAAAGCATACATGCAGACAAAACACCAATGCACAATAAATTAAAAGTAAATAAATTAATAAAAGAAATTTACTGATGTTTTATTCTTTAAAAGGTTTTGGAGAAAAAGATGCTTCACGAGTCAATACTGGCAGTTAATGAAAGAAAACATGAAGATTATGATATTCAGATAAAATAAGTAAAAAAAAAAAAAAGCACTTCATTACTAGTGCTAAAGAGTAATGGAACCCTAATTAACTCTTTTATTGAAATAAATAAAATGCTAGCAAAAGTACACTATATTGATCTGAGAGGGAAGTTAGAAAGTAGTAGGTATCTAAGTTGATCAGACAGCTGAAAATCAACCATCCAAACTAAAACCCAGAACACAAGGGCAAGAAATGAATCACTGAGGTAGAACCTCATACCTAGAGTACATTCTTGATGAGGAACATAAAATGGTTATTTTGGAGAGATACTGCTGATTTGCTGGATCTCCTACCATCCTAAATGCCCTTTAGATTCCCTTGCCAGCAACTGCAAAAACAAGACTCCCACACAGCAACTCAGCAAATACTTGGGGGCTTGTTCAGCACTTGTGGACCAATGTTCATTCTGCCCAGAAATTGTTTTGCCTTTGTTTTCAAAGTACTTTTGGAATTCACTGCTTCCTACTGTTGTCATTACTATACCATGGTGGGACCACTTTCACTTCTAGGCCAGGTTACTGCTATCTGAAGTCCCTTTCCTATTCTTGTTCCCTATAATATTTTTTTTAGTATTATAGCAATGAAAGTGAGTTGTTCAGATTTAAGTCAGATCTTAGCAATACCCAAAGCCTTCCAAAGGGTCACCTTTCACTTAAATAAAAAGCTGATGTCTTTACCTTGTTCCGGGAGGTTTGACCTCACAAACTCCCTGATTGACTTTCTCTCTTTTTCATTTGGTTCCAGCCCAGTGAAATATGTATATGAGAGAAATTTTAACTCTTTTTCTTAGGTTGGGCTGCATCTTAGAGCTAAGGGTAGACTGCAGGAAGACTACTCCACATGTACATTTTCTTCTGGATTTAAATCTTAAATGATGAAAAGAAATAGTTATCTGTTATTATTAGTGTCTCATAAATCTTTTCTGAGAAAAGTAACCCCTACCACTCCACTGATTTCTGCATGGTTTTCAAGTACAGCGATTGTTACATTATAAAAACAAATCAGACAAGTAAGGGTAAAGGCAATATGCAAATGCAAAATTTGGTGGATACTGTAGAATAGAAATAAACTTGAAATAACTTATTACAAATACATAAAGGAGTTGTAAATTATCACCATACAATTTGTTGATTAAATAAAATGTGTTAAGAAAAAAGCTGGATAGAGTGGAGGGCTGCTTTTAAGAAGGAAAATAAAAGTTTTAGCTATGAGAGCATTTACTTATTTCTAAAAAAAATTAGTTATATGAATATTTTGTGCTTTTAAATATTCTTTTGCCATGATGCAGTTTTACCTGGAAATGTTTAGGATATCATCAGAAGTCCATGAATGTAGGCTAATTTAAGAGTTCAGCTGGTAGAAATCAGGGAGTTAGGATTAATAAATTCCTGAATGACACTTACAGTATTATTAACCCAAGAGAAAAACACACATAATAACAGAAAATTCTCAACAGAGGAATATCAAATGGCAGAGAAACACTTAAAGAAATGTTCAACATCCTTAGTCATCAGGGAAATGCAAATCAAATTTACCCTGAGATTTCACCTTACACCCATCAGAATAGCTAAGATCAAAACGTCTAGAGGCAACGCATGCTGGAGATAATGTGGAGAAAGAGGAACCCTCCTTCATTGCTGCTAGGAATGTAAAATGGTACAACCACTTTGGAAATCAATCTGGCGCTTTCTCAGATAATTAGAAATAGTGCTACCTCAAGATCCAGCTATACCATTCCTAGGCAGATACACAAAATATGCTTAAGTATACAACAAGGACATTTGCTCAACCATGTTTGGAGCAGCTTTATTCATTATAGCCAGAATCTGGAAACAACCCAGGTGTCCCTCAGTGGAGGAATAAATACAGAAATTTTGGGACATTTACACAATGGAATACTACTCAGTAAATAAAAACAAGGAAATCATGAAATTTTCAGGCAAATGGTGGGAACTAGAAAAGATCATCTTGAGTGAGTTATCCCATAAGTAGAAAGACACACATGGTATATACTCACTTATATATAAGTGGATAGGAGACATATACTATAGGTTAAGCATACTAAGATCTATACACATAAAGAAGCTAAGCAAGAAGGAGGCCCCTGGGTAAGATGATCAATTCTCATTCAGAAAGGCAAACAGGATGGACATTGGAAGAGGGAGAAAACAGGGAACAAGACAAATGCCTACCACAGAGGACCTCTGAAAGACTCTACCCAATGGGGTATTAAAGCAGAGGCTGAGAGTCATAGCCAAACTTTGGACAGAGTGCAGGGAATCCTGTGAAAGAAAGGGGAGATGAAGGAGGGGACAGGAGCTCTACAAGTAGAGCAACAGAACCAAAAAATCTGGGCCCAGGGGCTGAGAATGATTCTCTAACCAAGGACCATGCATGGAGATAACGTAGAACCCCTGCAGAGGTTTAACCCATGGCAGGTCAGTGTCCATGTGAATTCTCTAGTAAGTTGAACAGGAGCTGTCTCTGACGTGAACTCACTAGCTAGCTCTTTGATTACCTCCCCCTGAGGGGGAAACAGCCTTACCAGGTCACAGATAAAGATAATGCAACCAGTCCTGAAGAGACCTGATAGGCTAGGGTCAGATGGAAGGGTAAGAGGACTGCTTCTATAAGTGGACTTGGGGAGGGGTATGAGAGGAGAAGAGGGAGGGCAGGTGGGATTGGGAGGAAATGAGGGTGAATTTAGGAGGGAATGAGGGATGGTGCTACAGCTGGGATACAAAGTAACTAAATTGTAATCAATTGAAAAATTAAAAAAAATAAGTGATTTTCAAAGGATCTAGATAAGCAGGATGTACTATAGTGTTCATTCTGTGTTGTACTAATGAATCAACATCACCAAGAGCTCTGCAAATGGACATATCTACTGAATTGTCAGACAGTGTTCCCCAGTTTTTGAGTGGAAGAAAAAAAGGTTTTGCATTTCAGGGGTACATTTTAAAGAACAAATAAGACACAAGTAAGTTAACAAAATAAACAGGATTTTTTATGATAAAAGGTTTCTTGATTACAAAGTTTACTTTTTTTCCTTTCTGCAGAATGAACATGTTAAATGGGTAGATGTTGGTGGAGCTTATGTGGGACCAACCCAGAACAGAATCTTACGCTTGTCTAAGGAGCTAGGCATAGAGACCTATAAAGTGAATGTCAATGAGCGTCTGGTTCAATATGTCAAGGTAAGCCTGACTTTTTATTTATAAGACCAGTGCATATAGATTTTATTTGAAAAAGACTTGGTTTATTTGTGGTTTTTTTCCTTTTTAACATTTATTTTAAAATTCTTTCATTGTATACATTCACATTATATGGTATGATGTATGCTACATAAGTGTATTGTCATACAAGCATATATTGTACATGAAGCATATTCTTTCTCACACTCTTCCACCTGCCTTTCTCACCCCTCCCATTAGCCTTCTTTGTTCCTCTATACAGTTTTGTTTCTCCTTTCATAATTTTATATGCCTGTGTAAAATCTAGGAACTACATATAAGATAACATAATATTTCTTTTTCTCAGATTTTTAATTGCATTCAATTTTCTGCATAATTTTGTTCTGTATAACTAAATAGAGCATATTTTCTTTACCAATTCCTATGACACCTATGTTAGTTCCATAACTTATGTATTATAAATAATGTTACAGTAAATATTTACTTGTAAGTATGCCTGTGATGCTTTGATAAGGAGTCCTTTGGGTAAATACCCAGGAATGGCAGATGTGGGCCATATAGTAGATCTAATATCAGTTTTTTGAGAGGCCTCCATACTGATTTCCGCAGTAGATAAACAAGTTTACATCCGTACCAGAAGTGGTATAGAAGGAGTTCTTTTTGTCCATATTCTCCCAGGATTTGATATTATTTGTTTTAAATGACGGCCATTCTCATTTTAGTAAGATGGAATCTCAATGTAGTTTTGATTTGAATTCCTCTAATGGCTATTGTATTTCATCTTTTCAAAACGTCTGTGTTCTTGTCATTAGTCAGTTTATTAATTGTAGTTTGTTGATGTCTCATTGTTTAAATTTTTGTACTTTTAATACATTTCAGATTTTAATTCTTCATCAGAAGGAAGCTTTTTTTCACTGAAAATACTGTTTTCATGTTCAGTCTATTCCTATCATGGTTTCTTCACCCAGATCCTTTCCACCTTTCCATCCATCTAACTCCACGCTTTCTCTCTATCTTTAGGAGATAAATAAAAATAAACAAAACAAAATTTAAAAAGGAAAAGAGAAACACATACACACACACACAAACACCAAAACATAAAAACACAAAATCAGGAACTGTAATATACAAGGAAAATATTAGTAAGATAAATGCCCAGACAAACCAACACGAGACAAAACAACAACAACAAAACAAAAAAAAAAACAAAAAACAAAAAAAAAACCCTACAAAAATATCATTGCTGGACATAGAGGCATAACCTTAAGTGTGGTTTATAGACATAGTGAGACTGTCGTAGCAAAGGAATTTTTCTTTTGTAAGCCAATGCTGATTGGAAATACCTTCTTGGTATGGGGACTGTGTCAACTTCATCTCTCAGCAGTGGGGCCTGTCTATCATGAATCTGTGCAGGCCTAGAAGAAACTTTTTAATTTCACGAAGTTCCCATTTGTTGGTTTGTTGGCATTATTTCCTAAATACCTGGAATTCTATTTAGAAAAATTCCTAAATAGGACTAAACCTTGAAATGTTTTTCCAATTTTTCATGTAGCAGTTTTCAAAGTCTCAAGTCTTAGATCCTATCTTAGTTACTTTTATATTGTTGTCACCAAACACCATGACCAAAGTAAATTATGAAAGAACACATTTAATTGGGGTTATGGTTTCAGAGAATAAGGGTCTTTGATAGTGGAAAAATGATATGGTGGTAGGAACAGCTGAGAGCTTATGTCTGGATCAGCAGGCAGGAGGGAGGGAGAGAGGAAGGGAGGAAAAGAGAGAGAAAGAGAGAGAGAGAATATACTGGGAATGTCACAAGTCTTGACATCTTAAAACTCATCCCCAGTGAAACATATACTTCAACAAAGCCACACCTTCTAGACTTTCACAAACAGTTCCACCAACTGGAGAAGCAGTATTCAAACATATTAGCCTATGAGGCCATTCTCCAAAATAAATTCTGAGACTCCAGGAAATCTTTTTATTGTCATCACCTGTAAAACCAAAAAGCAAATTACTTATTTCCAAAATACAGTACCACAGAATATATTTTACCATCCCAAATGGGATGAATCAGGGCATACAAAGAAATACTGGACCAAATGAATATTGAAACCCAGAAGGGCAAACTCCAAATTGTATAGCTCCGTGTCTGATGTCAAAGAGCTTAGGTAGCTCCAACTTTCTAGTTTGTGGTCTCCAATGATACAGCTCTTTCTTGGGTGGTTCCATTCCCTGTGTACAGCTTGTCTTAGTACATATCTCATGGCTCTGGCACTTCTAACATCTTGAAGTTTCCAATACAATCCAGGTTTCACTCTCACAGCTTTATGAAATGACTTCTCAGGTCCTCCTTGCTCGGATTCTCTTGTTCCACTCCTAGTCTGCCTCAGCTGTTCTCCTTAACCCTGGAGAAATATTCTACAAATTTTTACTCTTGTATATTTCATGATTCTAAAGCCACAACCATGTGGACAACAGTTTAAAGTTTGACTACCCACTTGGGATAAGCCCAGCATCTTTGAATCACATTTGTAACAGCTTTGATTTGTTGTTGATATTTAGGAGCAGAAAATTTCTTGGGCCCTTTTTCATCATTTGGAAGCTTAGGTAGATGGGGTCTTGTTCTGAGGGGCATGCCTCCTTTTATCCTAAATGCATATCAGGATTTGCCTTGATCCTTTCTCTTTCATCAAAAACCTTCACTCCAACATTAAATTTCCTGATACTCTGTTTATTTTTTTAAATTCTATCTTTTTGCCCCACTTGGTCTTTTTCATTGTAGACCTGCGTAAGAGTGGTTACTTGGAGACTGAGTGTATGGGTTACATCTGAGCAGAGGTTTTATGTCCTTGGTTGGGGTATCAGGTTCCCTAGTAAGGGGAGCAGGGGCTGTCTCTGACCTAAACTCAGTGGCTGGCTCCCAATCACCTCTTCCTGGGGGGGGGGGCAGGAGGAGTGCAGCCTTGCCAAGGCACAGAGGAAGATTCCTTTATCAGTGGACTAGTGGACTAGCGGTGGGGCATAGTGGGAGAAGAGGAAGGGAGGTTGGGATTGTGGAGGAGATGAGGGAGTGGGCCACAGCTAGGATACAAACTGAATAAATTGCAATGAATAATAAATAAAAAATAAAAAGTGTGATTACTAATAACCAAGCATTAGAGTCAGTATTATGGTGTGTTCAAATCTTGTCTGCCAAAGAAATTAGTCTATTACATTTCAATTTAGCCTCAAGAAAATTCTTAGAACAAGAGCAGAAAGCTGTTACATTCATTGCCAAAATATCACCAGAATGTTTTATAGCCTAACTCTTGTATTATTCTCCTCTGAAGTCTCTCAGGCTGGGCCTTCACAGTTCATATAGCTTTAAGCATCATTGTTTGCCATGCTACTACTAGGGTGACCTATCAAGCCATACTTACAGTGTAAGTATGGTCCCCATAGGCTCTTATGTTTGAATACTTGGTTCTCAGTTGGAGAAATTATTTGAGTAGTATTAGGAGGTACGGCTTTGCTAAAGAAAGTGTGTCACTGGGCGTGGACCTTGGGGTTTCTAAAAATTTGTACCATTCCCAGTGAGTTCTCTCTCTGCCTCCTACCTTACAAGAGATTTTAGCTCTCAGATGTTCTTGCCACCAGGCATTGATCTGGCATCATGGATTCTAATGCTTTGAAATAATAAGACTGACTCACTGCTTTCTTTTATAAGTTGCTTTGGTCATGGTGTTTTGTCATAGCAACAGAAAAGTAACTATGGTACTTACCATAGCTCTCCCAGGCTGTACTCCACTCCCTTTCCTGATGTATTTACAAGCTACGGTGGATGGAGTTGCCTGGACAGAAAAACAAAGGCAGGCAGACATTCAGGCATGTAGGTGCGCGCACACACACACACACACACACACACACACACACACACCCCTATGCATTCTTCCATAGTCCCAAGCAATTCTCACCAAAGAGCCACTTCTAAGGGCTCCAAAGAACAAAATTTGAGGACATTCTAGCTTTTGAATGGGTTCTTCTTCCACGTTCTCACCCAGAATGCCTTTGAACACTTTGTTCATTTGCTTGTGCCTGGCTTTTCCTCTTGGAAAGTATAGCCTTGTTTTAAGTATTTCCTAGTGTTTAAAGAAGAGATTGTTTAAACTCAGATCCTCAGATCCACCTAACAAATAGTAGCTTTTGCTACTGTTTTTGTTTCTCATTGAAGCCAAACTTGAAAAATGCTTGAGAAATTAACTTTGCTATCTGTTATTGTGAGCTGCTTCCTGAAATTATAAGGGAAGGGGTCATTTACTCATACAGAATGTCAGGATTTCCACACCAGTCACCACACCTCTTTGCAAAAGACACATCTTCCTTTGACTGGAAACAATCATGTTGGGTGTAGAGGTTAAAACATTGGGCGTTTCCAAGGAAACTTTGGATCAGTACATAGTAATATGCAACCAAGAGGTCAGGAATCTTAGCAAATCTGATAAACAAGTGGTTTGGGATGCCTAGGAGTGCATGACAGTAAAACATGCGAGAAACCAAACAAATAGCCTTTAGAAATGCTGAGAACTCAGGAGTTAAGAGAAGATAAAAAAAAATAGGTTTTACGAAGTTGTGATAGCTGGAGGTATACCTCAGGGGCAGAGCATTGAACAGTATGTATGAGGCTCTAGAGTCAATTACCAACACCATAAAAATTATACAAAGTATTTTGAAATGTTTATTTTATTAGGCCATAGTTAAAACACTTTCCTATTTTCTCATTTCTGCAAAGCATGCCATTTGCCTAATAACAGTAAGAAGAATAGCAGCTACTATTTATGAAAACCTTTTACATTTTCACATTTAATATGAAGAAGTAGCCCAAATACTTTGTGCTCAACTATTTAAACAGTCATGGAAATCTACTCGGCACTTCAACTGGGAAGTGTGATAATTAACCTAGAAGCTAGTTGAGCAGTCTCATCCACATTTTTTATTTCTTTCAATGAGTCATGTAAGGAAAG